TCCAGTGATTGATATTCGTGCTTTCTTTTTTGAAAGGACAGACTAAGTTGCTAGTAATGCTATACAAACGAGCGTAAACGATAATCAAAACAAATTCATCAGAACAGTGAGAAGTTTATAAAGACACCCCCAAGGAATAAATACCCGCTATACACCATATATACACCACAAAGCCGCCTAATACTTTAGCAACGAAGCCCACCCCCCTTAGAGGATAACAACCATGGTACAAAGCACACACTTTCAGATCCCACATTACTATTATACTCACACTTGCCACCGGCGCGTATGCCTCAAAGCCATTGTGCACGCTTCGATCCCCTGCGGTTTTGACGGTGAATCACGTGACCTACACCACCCAACCACATCACCCCAAAACAACACACCACCACCCCAACCCACAAACCAACAAGCCCCTAAATATCCCTGAAAATACTCCTTGACTTTGCTCAAGCCCACAAGAACAATCACCACACTATGCCGGGCTCCTACGACAAAGACCCGCGAGTACAATACTAAGCGCTCCTTGACCAGTCTCAGGTGTAGTTCGCGGCTGCGCCATCCCGGTGGAAGAAAAGTCTTACTATTGTTCATTGTGTGCACGTGATGCGGAGATTATGCTGGGTAGTGAGGACGCTTGTGTTTGGGAGGTGTTGGGCGGGGAGGGGGTGTAGTGCTAGAAGGGACTCCACACCCCAACACCAGCCAGCAAAATCCGCACAATCTAAAAGCTTACCGTACAGCACCTTCTTAATCCTTTTGTGAGATTTGTAAAGCGAGGTTGTTTTGGAGGTGGGTTAAGGGTGGGATATGGAATATGAGATATACAAAAATACTGGTATGGGGTTCAATATTTAACTTTTTTACATTTTATTTTTGCTGTCTACTTCTTGTAGAATGTCTTCTCTCTTTTGGTATGCTTGAGTTTTGGAATTGATACTTGGGTTAAGATAGATATGAGTGTATTCTAGTTCAAGAGACTTGAATGTACGCGAGTTTGATTTGCACTGCACTGCAATAACCCAACCTACTCAACTAACCCAGCTTCTACCTTCTCCACCCCCTCCCCCAAAAACTCCCCTATATCCCCCCCGGAAACAACAACCCATTCTCCCTCCTCACCCGCTCCAAAACCGCCACCACCTCACGACTCACCCGCCCCAAGCGCTCCACCTCCCGCTCATCCCGCTCTCCCAACACCCGCGCAAACTCCTCCGCCTCATGCCTCAAGCTCAGCCGCTCGCGCTCCTGAACCCCCTCCAGCACCTGGACCTGCTTACTCTTTGCATCCCAGTACGTCACCGTCTCGATATCGGCAACACTGGGCATGGACAGGGTACCGCGTTGACCGTAGATTTCGCTCGGGGCGGCGGAATTGAAGATTTTGCTGTGCATGAGGTGCACGGCAAAGGTTGGGTAGGTGAGGAGAAGGGTGCCGGCGCCGTCGGCGCCCGTGGCGATTTTGATGGGTGAGTAGGATGACTGGGTGGGGGCGCCGAAGAGGTCGATTGCGGCGGCGAGGGGGTAGACGCCGAGGTCGACGAGGGCGCCGCCGCCCATGGCTAGGTTGAAGATGTTTGGTGTTTCGCCTGCGAGGACTTTTTCGTAGCGGGATGAGTACTGGGCGAAGGTGAAGGAGGCGCCGTAGAGGGGGCCTAGGGTTGGGATGTGTTGTTTGAGCAGTTTGAAGTTTGGTTCTTGGAGGTGGCGGAAGGCTTCGAGGAGGATGACGTTGTTGGCTTTGCTGGTTTGGAAGAGGTCGTCGAGTTCGGCGACGGTCGAGCACGCTGGTTTCTCAAGAATGACGTTTTTTCCCGCGGCCAGGATGAGCTTGGCGTGGGTGTAGTGCAGGATGTTGGGGCTGGCAATGTAGACGGTGGTGATGGTGGGGTCGGCAGCGAGGGCCTCGAGGTCGGTGTAGGTGGTGATGGTTTGGCCCTCATATTGGCTCGCGAATTCCTCGGCCGTCTCGGTTTTGCGCGAGTAGACGGCGGCGAGATTCCATTTTCCAGTTGCGTGGGCGCCTGCGACGAAGGAGTGTGTGATCCAGTTGGTACCAATGATGCCAAAGTTGATCATTTTGGTGGTTTCTTGGGGCGATGTGAGGTGTAGGTAGAGAAGGTATTACGGGCATTGGGTGCTGTGAACTCGAACAACACCCTCTTTATACACTCCACCCAGTAGATCAGTCAGCAACCACTTGTTCCGTTGAGCCGCCTTCTCTGCGGTTGCTTCGACCCCACTAACGTATCCTGGCGTGAAGCTTGAAGGAGAAAGTCTCGAATCTCGATGATGTGTGCGGATCACAGCCAGACGGGTGCTGATTGGCCAACGGTTGCGATTACCCAAAGCAGCGACTACCATCTCGACAACGGGACATGCGCAGCGTCAAACGCCACCACACGGCTTCACAAGAACTCGCCAGTGGGAAAATATGAATTGATTGCTAGCCTAGGATTCCACAGTCGTGGTTGCTACCACCAGTTTCCATCGCATGCAGTGCAGAATCAAGAGCTCCTTTCGAACAAGGAGGGTATCATGTTGGAGTGTGACGTGGGGCTCGACTCCATCGTAGAATGCATCATTCACCAAATGGGACGGAAAACCAAAAAAAAAAAATCAAGTTCCGCAACGCCGTATCCGACCCATTTGTGTCGCAGTATGCTCGCTCCCAAACCGGGAAAAATCGTATTCTCAAAGACAGTATGAAGGTCATGCTCACCTGGCTGGCAAAAGATGCAGGATAAAAGCCTAGCCGGATGATAAAACAATCAAGACAAAAACTCCACGACTCCACGTATGCTGCTATTTGACCTCATCCGTCGAGTCGGTAATGGCTTGCCACCATGCTGACACATGCTCGGGCTCAGTCCTCCCAGATCGTCTCGAGATCCAAGTCTTGGCGCCTTTCGGCTCCGCATACACTCCATCTCTTTCTGGCATCACGCTTACCGAAGCCAAAGCCAAAGCCAAGGCTACGGCCACGGCCATCGGGCTGGTCCAAGCTAGACCGCCTCTGCTCCTCACCCTCCTCACGGTCCGCTGCGGCCTTGAGTCGGGCAATGCGGTCAGCCTCAATCGCCTCCTCTTCTGCATCCGGACTGTCTTCAATGGTCTCGAGAGAAGAGATGGATGGACTGCGAGAGCGCATCGAGGTTGGGGTCGAGGGCACAGACGACGAGGCAAGCGATGGCGGGTACTGCTCATTGAACTTGGAAGCGGCAAGAAGCGGTGAAGAGGTGGTCGAGGTCGGCGTGCTGGTGCTCGAAGGGTTGGACGAGAGACCGGGCAAAGAGACGGAGACGTGGTACAGTGGCGATGCTGGCCGTCTTCGCCTAGAGAGCGAGCCGGTGCTGCTGTACAAGCTCGACACGCCCGAAGCGGCACGCGGTGTGAGGTCCAGCTCTGCGTCCTCTGATATATCGCAGACGCTGGGTGCGCCCTCAAAGGAGCCTATCGAGGCCGGGCGCAGTCCAGAGCCATAGCGCTCGTGTGGGCTTGCTGGCATCGCGCGCGCGTCGGCATCGCGGGGGCTTCGTGTTCGCTTGGGCGAGCGCAGAGGCGAGACCGGGCGGGCAAGCGGTGTCAGGGTAGGTGAGAGCATGAGGTTCCCGATGGGCTGCATAACCGTCGGGAGAGAGTGGGCGCGCGTCATGGGAGGTGCCCTGGGCAGGGCCGAGGTGCTCTGGGTACGCAGGTGAGATCGCGCATAGGGAGATCGGTTGCGAGGAAGCTGGGCGTGGGCGGGCGTCATGGTGTCGGGGGAAGGAGCTGTCTGAGAGCGTGGTGTGGAGGGTCGGCGCGAGGTGCTGCTGTCGTCGGACGCGTTACTGAGCTGCCGTGACAGGGTGTGGTTGCCTTGGCCCAGGTCCACCGTGTCCTCTAGCCGGCAGCTCGCTCGAGAGGCTGGCGGTTTTGGGCTGTTGTTCATGGGGGAGGAGGGAGGAAGGGAAGAGTTCTGTTGCAGCGAAGGTGTAGTGGAGTCGTGACCAGGCGTCTGGCTTGGAGTCGAAGTCGAAGTTGGGGTTGGGGTTGGAGTTGAAGTTGAAATCGTCGTCGTCGTCGTGCTTGTCATGGTGGTTGGGGTCGCCGTCGTAGGGGTCGTGGTGGTCGTCGTAGTCGCCGGGCGGTCGCGGTCATTTGCGGTGGACATGGCTTCAAGGCGGTGGAGCAGATGCTGGGGGTGCAGATCTTCGCTCGCTCCCAAGGGCGAGGAAGACGAATGGGCGGCAGTCATGGGGGTGGCGGTGAGCGGGTTGTATAGATATATACATACATACCTACTCTAGTGCCTATGTAGAGTCGGTAGGTAGGTACCGGTAGGTAGGGGAGGGGAGGGGAGAGGTCTGCCCTCCGTCCTCACCGTGCCAGGGCCAGGGCCAGGGCCAGTGCGTGCCTCGGTGGAGCTGGGGCGGGAGGCTAGCAGTGGAGGTGGGAGAGAGAGCAGGGGGAGGAGAGGGAAGAGGGAGTCGGGGCGTGGGTTGGGATTGGAAGGTATCGTCGGTGGACCGTGGACCGTGTCGCGCCAACTGCTGAGCGCAGGATGGACCTTGCCGCGTTTCAGCCGGTGGATAGCGAGCGAGGGAGGGAGAAGACCGACTTTTGGACTCTGGGCGACTTGGGGGGTTAGGTACGAGTCTGGGACAGCGATTTGTTTGACCGGTGCATGCACGCACGTCTGCACTGTCGCAAAAGGGTGGGCAGCGTCGCAGCGACAAGACGGGAGGGTGTGAGGCCGAAGAGAAGAGGGGGGGATGGGTGATGCTAGCTAGGTACGCGAGCCGAGTCGGAGTGGTGAAAGGAGAAGTAGTGTGTGTGTGTGTGTGTGTGTGTGTGTGTGTGCCTATAGTAGGTAGGACCCAGGTTGGTATGAGGTTACACAGGCACCTGCCCGTACACAGTGCAGTATAGCTAAGGTGTCTACATAGCATAAGACCGACTTTTTACTTTCTTCCATGGCTGCCACTTTGAGAGAGTTTCTTGGGGTCTTGGAAGGCAGGCCGGCTGCTCCTGCTTGCTGCAAGTCACTTGCGCCTGCCGCCGACCGACACATCCCCTGCCTAACCTAGTAATTACATCTGGGGGCGGCCAATTTGGCAGGCACGAACGAGGCGACAACTTTAATCCCAAGCCCTAAGCCCTACCTACTTTCTTTGTTACTGGTTATTGGTTACTGGTTACTGGTTACTGGTTACTGGTTACTGGTTATTGGTTACTGGTTATTGGTTACACACACATTGCACACTTGCATAACATAATCAACTTAGGGTATGCCTCCCCTAACAAAGGCCCTGAAACCACGCAAACAGCCCAGCCAACAATGCGCAACCTCCTACGCCCTTGCCACCTGGAGTAGTTACCTAGATTAGAGACACCGCCATCATGCTCTCGCCTTCATCTATTTCAATCTTCATAAACAGACGTGACATCAAAGGGCCATCCCAACTGCCCGATATTCATGTAGGTACATACCCAGCCACCTGCAAATGAATCCCAATTCACTACACCCATGATCCCTGAAGACCCGCGCCCGACACCGCCGCCGCCGCCGCCGCCGTCGTCGTGGGCCGAGCAGAAGCTAACAAAAAGACCCTGAATTTGGGGCCTGCATGCAGTACGTACTGGCGGTGCACAGAAGACTCGCCATGTGCTTGATTGTATACTACATCCTAGATTCTACTACTGTGTACAAGTACTTGGCCATACCACAACTCCTCTCCCCTCCTCTCCCCTCCCCTTCCCTCCCCTTCTCTCACGTCTCCACCACCACCACCAACCACAAACACAAACACCAAACCAACAGCCATTCTCCACCCAAGCCTCGGCATCCACGACCCCGAATTTCCCTCTTTCCTGCTTCCTGCCCGTCTGTCCCCGCCCAATCACGGCCTACCTTCCCGTCTCCCTTTTCCTCCTACCGCGTCCTTCTCCACTCCCATATTGGGTCTAATCTTTGCTATTTTGGGCTTGGGTCAATGGCTGTTTTGGGCTTGGGCTATTCTTGGGCCCATCTAACTATACTAGCGCGTCTTTTATGCCCCCCTACTTACTGTAATCTGCTACCGGTAGTGGACGGGTTGGGCTGTACACAGTCTATGTAAGTTGTACTAGGTGTTGCAATATAATATAGCTGTGGTGAGAATGATGCATGTGCAATACTATCCTGCAACATAGCCATAGTCTTGAAGCAGAGGGCTGGGCGCTGCTGTACTCATCTCAACTAGGTAGATATAATTCATGGGTAATGCCAGGCTGACTAACTGTCCAGTCCCTACGATATGTCGACAATACTGATACCATTCCATCACACCAGCTTGCATTGCTCCATCATCTAACCTACCGTCAACAACAGTATATCCACTCCCTGTCCAGCCCTACTTCTAACCTACTCCCACCACCCATCATCAGAAAAATAATCCCAAATTTCCTCATCTGTCCACGCCTCCTCTCCATCACCGCACTCAATCCAACCCCCTAAACTGCTGCCAATTCCTCTCCAGAGGCACCACCACCCCTTGATGTACTGCCCGCACAAACTCCTCGCTATCCAAACTCGACTCCGCGCTATCAAAGTCACACCGCGCGCACCGCCTCACAACCTCGCGATACCGAGTTCCCCCTTGGGACACCAATTGCTCGTTAATTGGTCTCCACAGTGCACCAAACCACCCCGGGCGTGGCCTCACAGCCCACAAGATCCTGTGGCAATTGCAGTTCCTCAATCGTCTTCCCGTACAAGAGCTCGATAAGCACGACGCCAAGCGCAAAAAGGACTGGATTGCGTATCATCCTTGACCGTTGCTGTGGCTGCGAATCGACTCCAGAGGAAGAGGCCGTCATCCCACAGTATACAAATGGGTGTTCGTACACGCTCGTAATCGGAGCACCTGCTCGATGGGCAAAATAAAGTCCTTGTCGCTCCAGTCTTCATCTAGCCACGGTGTCTGGTAAAGCTGCAGTGTGCTCGAGGCCAAAGCTACAGCAATCCTGTGCCTGTCGCCCAAGGTCAATCCGTGCCCTATATTGGCTTGATGCGTGAGTATCGGATGTAGAGAGTATTTGGTCCATGGCTGCTGTGGACATGGTGACTGGCACGGATGTATGCTGTATCTTCGCTTGGATCCATCCTCCACATAGCCGAGACAGGGTTCCTGCTGTACCGGTAGTTGCGGTACGGAGGCAAGAGCTTTGCATAGATCGGAAATCTGTTTCCATGTAGCATCAGGTGACAAAGGACAATGTGAGGGAACAGGAGGTCCTGCTCTGCGTTGGCTACTGCCTTGGCTACTGCCTTGGTGATTCACGCCGCTGAATCTTGCCCGTGGTTTACCGGTAGGCTTTGATGCGGAGATGGGAGGATGTACGGTACTGTTGGCATGGGACAACCCTGAGCGTAAGCTATCAAAAAAGACTCCGCGCGTGTTGTCGAATGAGGCTGAACTGTGGGCAAAAATGAGCGCTATTCTTGGCCCTGAATGGCTCAAAGGTTATCGATCGTTGAGTGAGGCGCGAGAGTGCTGCATTGTAGTTCTGCAGCTGCGCAATCTGCTCGTCATATTCCGCCTTGCCGATGCTGAATTTCCATCTTTTGTATTCTGATCGGAACAAGCTGGGATTGGTAGATCGTAGCTAGAGATGTGCCATCAGTGGAAGTGTTGGTCTTGCATGGCATGGAAAGTGGTCTTGCCTGGAACGTGGCTTGTTGCATGAATGGGAAAGAGCACACGCGTGGCATCGGCAGCCTCAACGTACCTTCCCTTGGTACATTCCAAGTTTTTCCATCATCACGCTAAGAGATTCACCTATTCCTCTGACATTCTTCAGATAGACTTCATACGCACGACTCAGCCTCACCTTTAACCTCTGCTCTATTTCTGGTGCTTGCTCGAGGCGGTCTACAGCGCGCGGTGCACGGTCAGTCTACTACGCTTGCAACATCTACCACTACGGTACAAAACCGGTTTACAGTAGCCATATTTATCTAAAGTAGACTAAGAAGTAGTTTAGGTAGAAGAAGTAAACCTAAATAGGGTTTACTATACCATGTATTCCACTTTTACTTCTACTTCTATTAATCTACTAGTATTACGTAGTAATAACTAGTTTCCTACTAACTATCTAAGTATTTTACCCCTCCTTTCTTTAATCTTCTTTACCACCTCTACCACCTCTACCACCACCTCTATCACCACCTCTATTATCACCACCTCTATTATTACCACCTCCTATTAGTCAAAATATCATGACTTATTATTATGTCATATGTGCGTATAGCGTGAAGCTAAGTTTCTCTACCCCTTTTAGTCTTAGTTAGGTTCTACCCCTTTTAGTCTTAGTTAGGTTCTACCCCTTTTAGTCTTAGTTAGGTATTATCGCGTATAATAGAAATAAAACTACTTTTTATACTTAATTTAAACCCCTACTATAAAAGTAAACCACTACTTTAATAAAAGTAAACCACCACTTTAAACCTATTTACGGGTATACACGAGGTCAGTTTACACCTATATAGTAAACCCCTAGCGTACCATTCTACAGTAAACAATTTTTTACCGTAGTGTACGATGAGAGAATGTATTCAGGTAAGCATGCCATCTGTTCGGCCCTGACGATGCCAGAAAGTTGGAGCTCCACAGTATTGAGAAATATTGTTCTTTCGGTTTCAATCAGGGCAATCATAGAACCCAGGCATGCCTGGTACCGATAGAATCGTCTTGCGGTTGTGACGCCTTCAGCATAGCACTGGAGAGCTGCGACGACGAGTGGCAGCGCGCCCAACACCACTCCAGCAACTTCAAGGCCAGATATGATCCGATAACTTTCCTCGTGAGCTTTTTCGTCGGGTGATTTTTGATGAGAAGGGGGCGGGAGGACGGAGAATGTGGGGTGTAAATTGCATGCTCGATTGGACAGAAGGCTGACGATTAGGTACAACAGACCTGGAGCTGCGTCACTTGCGTTGCCCACCATATCGCATGTGTCGTTGCAGCTCACCTTCAATTGGACATGTACCCCTCATCCAGCTTGACGAGTGTGAGCAACCACCCATCTTCTGCTTCTAATCGTACGACTGATATAGTACGAAGCATCCTTTTGCGAGCCTACCATACTCATAGCCGCTGCAACACTGTCGAGCAAGTCACTGTCGAACTTGATTGCTGCTATGCCCGATTGCAGAATCTTATGAACATCAACGATATCCCATGGCCCTTGATCAGCAACACACGTTACAGGCCTTTATACCTGGGGTATTCCACTGCCGGGTACGCTTCGATGGGAATCGTCACGCACTGGCTTGTGCCGACCATCAGATCACAAGCAAGTTACCCTTAAGCAATATCAAGGAAGAGGCAGGCCGTTTCAACGTGTGGTCGGCCAACTATGGAGTAATCCGCACTGAGGGCGCTTTTTCCGATCACAAACTTCGAGACGCTTCCCACGTGCGCACTCGAATGCTCAGACTCCTTCAAAGTCTTGCATCGATTTTGAACCGTATACTTGTATTATCGGCAGGCCAAACGATACCTTGGGAAGATCTATCCGCATCCAAATCAGACTCGGATGATAACCTGCCCCACGACAACCCATCACTCACCGAGCTGGGCCAGTTGGCGAACGAGATGAAGGACGTGATCACTTGTCTCATGCGGCTCTCAATCTTCATCGAGAATCCAGCTCCGCACGATCAGTTCATAGGATATTGTACCATTGACCAATCCCACCTTGAGCCTCTTGACATGAAACACGTACGGGAAAATTTCCCATCCATGGATCCCCAGCTTGCAAGTCGTCTTGGGCCAGGCAAACTCTCAACGACGCCGATATCTCAATTATCGTGAAATTCATAGAGAAAGCTAAAAAAGGGACCCTCCTACATTGCCCTCGATGGCTTTGGTGAAGCCCATGATGGCAAATTGCTGCAACCTTTCGTACGCCTCGTCCACTTATGGCCCAAAAAGACTACGTCCTCCGGCTCTGCCTGAGAATGCGGAATTTGGACAGCCATGGGAGTGTCAATTGTGCTTCTGCATCATCTCTGTTGGGTCAAAGCCTGCGTGGTACAAACATGTCTACCAAGACCTACGGCCATATGTGAGACCAGTTACCATGTGTTTGCATGATTACATCATCTAACTCCAGTCTAGATGTGTACAGTTCTATATTGCGCAATACCGGACCTTACGTACGAATCTCGGCGTGAGTGGTTGCAACACGAGACGCAGATGCACGGGAAAAGCTGGCAATTTATCGAGGGTTGCAATCAGACTTTTCAATCGTCGGAAGCCCTCGGAGAACACCTTGCGCGTGTACATGCAGATCGCAGACTGGATGCGCGAATGGAGCAATATCTTCGCGGCTGTGAAATTCAAACAATATTCGCGCGGGGGACGACTTGTCCGTTCTGCACTCAGCCCTTGGCCACCTCGTCAGAATATCGGTCTCATCTGGGTAGGCACTTTGAAAAGCTGGCTCTATGCGTTGTACCTTTTCATCTGATGGGTGCTGAGGAGACTGAGGAGGAAGGAGGACGGGGCGGAAGCCGAAGCCGAATTGTAGATCAGCGAAGCGAAGAGCTTGGAAATGAACAAGGGAGTAGCAGCCTATGAGGAAGTCTGCAAGACTTGGTAAATTGGATGTGGAAGAGAAGAATTCGAATCGGATACGAACGCAGCGTTTAGTGTTGGACTTGGGTCCTTGAAACACGCATCAAGGTCCTGACTTGGACGCTGAACACGTTCATGGAATATGTAGAGTGTTGCCCGCTTATGCGATGAGATTAGTTAGGGGAAGATAGCAAACGAGACATCGCTCTCGCCACATGGATTAGTGGGGTTGAATGTTTGAAATTCTCCATTGACTTTCAGTGCGGCGAATTTATCGTGTTCAGACTTGTGTCATTGAATCTAGTGGGAATAATCAAAGAAGAGCTTGTGTGGATGGAAGGAAGTCGTGAATTCGATCACGGTGTGGTGAAATTTCAAAGTACAAGGGAGGTTGATTCAATGTGAGTGCTCCATGCCAGATTGAATACAGCGGACATTACTGTTCTGCTCATGCATTACACTCGAGGTAGTCTGAGCCACCAACATGTGGCCAAACCAACACAAGATGCAACTATATTCCCTACAGTACAACAGCAGCCGAATAAAATTCGTTTGCTTTCACAAAAAAGTCCTAGCTGTATTTTGAATTCCACCTTGGAAGACGAATCAACTCTATTCATCTCACGATAATAATCCCAACTACTGACTGGATCCCCCCGAAATAGTAAGCACCTGCCCATTCACCCAACCTCCATCCTCGCTCGCCAAAAATGCCACAACCCGCGCCACATCCTCGGGTACCGCACAACGTCCCAACGGGCAGTGATTCGCCATCAACGTCTCAATCTTCTCTGCCGGCCAATCGGGGCTGCCACCTGGGATGTAATGCCAGGCGTTCTAGAAATAGTGGTTAGCTACTGTTATTTTGATTGGTAGTCAATGATACATGGCAACATATACTTACTTGAGTGAACATGTCGCTCTTGATACCGCCGGGTGCCACACCGTTGACCGTGATGCCTCTCTTTCCAAAGTCCGTGGCAAATGCCTTGATGAAGCCGATGACTGCCATCTTGGATGCGTTGTATAGCGCGTGGTCCTTGACACCGAGGAGCCCAGCGGCAATCGAGGACATGAGGATGATGCGTCCATTGTCCTCAATGTAATTGTACGCCGTCTGGCCGACAAAGAACTGTGCTCGTGCATTGAGATTGAATACATGATCATACTTCTCCTCGCTAATCTCCTCAGTGACATCCCAACTCTCCGTCCCCGAGTTACTCATCACTATGTCAATCTTGCCAAAGGCCTGCTTTGCTTCCTCAAACAGCCGCTTGATCTCGCTAACCTTGGATACGTCGGCTCGGATGGCGATGGCTTTGGCGCCATTGTTGAAGCCCTCGATGATCTGGCAGACTTCGTTTGCCGGGCCTTCGGAGGAGACGTAGTTTACGATTACAGAGGCGCCGCGCTTGCCGAGCTCGATTGCGCAGCCACGACCAATTCCTCGGCCTGCTCCTGTAATGAGGGCGACTTTGCCTTCGAGGGAGGCGGTGGGGACGTTGATGACCATTGTGGGCGTTGTTGTGCTTGAAGGTCACGTGAGGGTATGCGGTCTGTAGGGCCTCAGATGATCGGTCGTTATAACTGAAATATGTCGTGCCTCCGAGGTCGACAAGAAGCAATCAAGAGCGCAAGATGGATGGGATGGATGATATGGCCTTTTAGGATGCTTTGATGCACCTATAAGTATGCAATAGTGCATTCCTCAATTAAAGGCAAGAATGATTGTAGTATGCGGTCCTGGGTGGGGATCCGGACTCCATGGAGAAGCCGAGAAAAAGGTCGACTAGAGAGATGCGGCTCTAGGTACGTCGTTGCGTCCGGAGCAATGGTTCCATTAGCCAAACTAAACTAAGACATCCGATCGAGTCGCAACTGTCGCGCAGCAAGACCGGCTAAGATGCGGACATCGGATGGAAGAGGGGCCATGATGTTTCCCGGAGCTGAACCTTTTGTTGGAGAGGCGATGGGGAAGCCAGATGAATTCAAGACAAGATGGTCTCTTCTTTGGGACTCATCTTTAATTCGTGCACTTGTCAATGACTGGCTGTCGTGTTTCAAGCATCTACACCGCGTACGGTGCTGCGTGATGCAACAATGCAGGAACAACGACGGTCCCACCCAGTATGCTGGTACGGCCGATTACCCATGTCAGGTTCGAAATAGCCATCATTCGAGGCAACGACAGAAGCACAAATCGGCACTCATGAGATGAGGGGATGTTTCAATGCCCACAAACGTGTAGCGAACAAGTGAAGATGGCAGAAGGGCAGGTGAGGTCAGGCAGATGAAAGAAAGTGAGGCGGTGGGAGGAGAACGTGACTGGAGCCACGACGATGGGTTCCGAGCTATCGATAAAGATTTCGGAACAACGCAGCACGTCACTCCATCGACCCCATTCTTCATTCTCTGCCCATGCTCGACATCTTCATACACATACACATACACCAAAACCACACTCTCGAAGCAGTCTCAATCTCGATACTAAGTAACGCCAAACATGCATATCTTGGTAAGTGACATGGAACATCCTGAGCACGTCAAGTCTCGTAGTCAATGCATGACAATACACACACACACGCTCTCTCTCTCTCTCTCCCGCCACTGAAGCTGCCCCCCAAGTTCAACAGAGCAATTGCTACTCCCCAGACCACATACACTACAATCCGGCCTTGGACTAACCATCTGTCTCTAGATAACCAACGATGACGGCCCGCCTTCTGACCAATCCTCCCCCTACGTCCACTCCTTGGTGACACACCTCCAATCTGCCGGCCACACCGTCTCCGTCATCCTCCCTCACACCCAGCGCTCCTGGATCGGCAAAGCCCACCTTGTCGGCAAATCCGTCTCCCCGACCTACTACCGCCCGCAACCCCTCCAAACCACGTCTGACGGGCGTCTCACAAACCACGGATCCACGCACGACACGCCACTCCCGCCAGACAGCAAGGAAGAAGAATGGGTCCTCGTGGACAGCACACCAGCCTCATGCGTTCAAATCGGACTCTTCCACTACTTCCAAGAGCGCGGCCCCATCGACCTCGTCGTATCAGGCCCCAACTACGGCCGCAACAGTACCGCCGTCTTCTCCCTCTCGTCTGGCACCATTGGCGGCGCCATGGAAGCGGCCGTCTGCGGCGCCAAATCAATCGCCCTCTCCTACGCCTTCTTCGACCGCAACCACGACGCCCAAATCATAAGCGACGCCAGTGCCCTCAGCACAAGGCTCATCCAACACCTATGGGACCACTGGGACCCATCCACCCATCTCTACACCGTCAACGTGCCCCTCGTCGAGGGCGTCCAGCGCCGCAAAATCCTCTACACAGACATGCTGCAGAACTCGTGGAAATCAGGCTCCTGCTTCCAAGTCGTCGAGACCCCGGCACCCACTCCCGCTCAGCCAGACCCAGAATCCACAATCAGACTCCAAGAAGCCAACATTGCAAAACTGGAATCCGCAGCCCTCCACACCTCTGAGGATCCGGCCTCTACAACACAGCCCGGATCTTCGTCGCCGGCACACGATCAACAACAGACCAAGCAGGTCCACGCGCGCTACACGCACAAGAGCTTCAAGTGGGCCCCGCTCTTCAAGGACGTGTATGAGAGCGTGGAGGCCAGCGAGCCGGGAAACGATGGCTGGGCCGTGGCTCAGGGGTATACGAGCGTGACGCCGTTGCGGGCGAATTTCATGCATGTCCCTGGGTTTACGGGGGAGATTACGTTGGCGGAGGGGCGCGGAGAGTCGGGCATGACGGCTGCGGATGCAGAGAGGCAGAGTGATGATCGGTAGGTGGGTGGGATTTGGGATTTGGAATTTGCATGACGTGAAAGGGGGAAGTTTCTGGTTGAAGAAGCATCGAGGAATGGAAGAAGAGAGGTTGTATTGCTTGCAATGCATGATTCTGAAAGACTTGGACTGAAAGGAAAACATCTTCATTCATGATTGAAATGTAGACGGTCATGACAAGAATATTTAGAAGAAAAAAAGACATTGCCTGGCCTCCCCCAGGGTTTCATCTCGAATAGTAAAAAAAAAAAAAAAAACTCAGTGTACAGAAATTACTGTCTAGCCCCATTCGTCCATCCATACACATCCATTCACCCAAGGTAATTTGAAACGAAAAAGCGCCTGCAATGCCCACCTCATACGCCCCAACCCACAAACCATCAAAGAAAAACCGTAGATCCCCCATCTACACCTTTCCGCCCTGCCCCTGGGCCTGCACCTTCCCCAAAATACCCTTCCTCGCCACCTTCTCCCTACCCTCCACCGCCTCTGCGCGTTCCAAGCCAGCATAAAACAAACGAACCTTTTCATGCGCAATCACCTTGCGGGCATCAAACCGTAAAATCTGCAAGCCAGCCATCGACGTCGCACGCGACAGCGCCACATAGGCCTGTCCCTTTTCAAACACCTTGCCCAAGTCGACGCGGACGCGCTCGAGAGTTTGGCCCTGTGCCTTGTGAATGGACAGGGCCCAGGCGAGAATGAGGGGGATCTGGGAGCGCGAGGCTTGGACTTCGCCGTTGGGGAGCTCGACTTTCCATTCTTCGCGTTTGGTAAGCAGGTCGCGCGTGGTGCCGTCTGCGTTTGCAAAGCGGACGAGGGGGTAGACTTGTGCCGTGTTTAGGCCGAGACCCATCTTCATCTGTTCCGTCTTCATGGCGGCTTCCGAGGCGCCGTCCCCGTTGAGGAGGTCCTCTTCGTGTTCCTTGTAGATGGTGAACATGGGCTCCGTCATGAAGCCAATGACTTTGCCCAGGGAGCCGTTGACGAGCTGGTCATCCATGTTCTTGACCAACATGACTTGGGCGCCCTTTTTGAGGTGTACTTGCTCGGGCACCATGCAGGATTGCAAAAGTCGGTCGCGTTGCTCTTTGTTGGTGATTGTGCCGCCGTCGCGGGCGTCAAAGGTAAAGGTAGTGCCGTGGAGTTGGGCCATGCGGACGTTATTTGCACGGTCGACTTCTTGGCGCGTGGGAAACAACTCCGTCGCTTCGATATTCTCATCGGCTTGGGGGAGCGGTCGCTCGAGCTGTTTGAACCGTGTTATCGACTCTTGGGTCAGCCGGCCTTCACGCATCTCATTGAGCATGTTGGCAAAAACGGGATCTTTTTGACGGAAGACGTGGTGCAAGCCAATGGTGTGCTCGATGGAAGTCGTCCAGGTTCCGGCGTCAAAGGCAAACTTGGCCGGCTTTCCAGTCTCTGGTACAGGAGGCAACTGGAAGAAATCTCCCGTGATGACAAGTTGAATACCCCCAAATGGCCGGCCATTGTTGCGGATTGTGCGTGCGATTTGCTCCAGTTTGTCAAAGAGATCGCCGTCGACCATGGACACTTCGTCCATGATGAGCACCTTGGTTCGCATCCATCGCTGCTTTGCCTTTATATTCCTTCGTATCTTTTTGATCAAGTCTTCCGCTGGCTCCTTGCCTAAGCCAATGCCGGAAAAGCTGTGTAGGGTCACGCCTCCAATGTTACATGCTGCCAGACCTGTCGACGCAGTCACAGCCACTCGATCTGGCTCACGCGAATACTTTGCCCGTAGTGCAGTAATAATCTCTCGAAGCAGTACAGATTTACCAGTACCTGCCGTGGTCAACATTAGGCCTTCACTCGTCAGCGTGTGCATCACTTACCTGCAGAACCAGTGAAGAAAACACTCTTCTTGTCCTCAGTCACCAGTTTCAACACATGTTGTTGCTCCTCACTCAAGAAGATGCGATGCACGCTGTTCTTCTTCTTCTTCTTAATCGCCTCCTTGACGGCGTCATCTGCACCGTGAGACGATTTAGTCTGTGCCTTCATCTGTTCTCGAAACACCTTTTGTTGCTGCTTCAAACCACTTGCAGTGACATTGAAAGGGTACTGTGCCGTCGAGTCCTTTGGCGCTGGTGTAGCAACAGCCTTTTCGGGATCGAGAGCTCTTCTCTTGTTTGGTTGTGCCTCCTCTTCCTCCCACTCGATCTGATCACACGTCTCTGCGATAGGCTGAGGTCTAAGCATGTCAGGCCAGGGTAGCTGTCTTCGTTTCGTCTTGACTGCAGGTTTGGGAGGCGTCTTGAAATGTTCCACCGGCGACGATGACCACTGTACTGGCTGGCTGCTGTTATTGTCCTCAACCTTGGCCTGAGCGGTCTGTAGCCTTGAGTCACATCCAGAGTCTTTCGAGGCCGTTGTTGACGGAAGTGTAGGATATGTAGCGGTTCCCTTGGTCGCAGGGTCTTCGACATCGAGATCAATGTCACTATCAAAGTCGTCCTCGTCGAACAGAGCAGTAGCCAGGCTCGACGATGCGCCTCGCAATGAATTGTGAAAGGCAGTGGGCAGCTCATTCTCTTTCTCCATGCCGGCAATATTGAGGGTTGGATAGTCGAATATGTCTTCTTGTGAGCTTAGAGATTTCGCAAGGCCACTCGACGTCCTCTTGATGCCCTGTGTGACTGATTTGAAAGGCTGCTGTGACCTTATGCTGTTCTGCCTGACAGCCTTTTTCAATGGGCGCGTGGCCGAATCTTGTGCCGACCCAACGCGACCGACTGTGTTGTTTCCAAACAACGTTTGTTTATAAGATGGCTGTGGCGGTGACGTCGAGGCCACAGCATTTTGTGCCTGGACGACGGCTTGCTTGAGCATGGTGGCGGTAGCGTGAGGGCGGGCGGGGAGGCTATTGTAATGTGAGTGCGTGGTGGACGAGCGTGATGTATCGAGTGGCCCGTCCGCTCTAGGTCGTGTCATCGAGAAACGGGACTGTGAAAGGTGCGCCCCAGAAAGCTGTGGCGGCAGGGACGCAGGCGACCCAATGCGTTGAAACAGTTTCAGCGACGCACCAGACCTTCCAAAGGCGAGAAGCATACAGCAGCGAAAAAAAGAGCGACAAGACGAAGGTAGACTTTACGAGTGGTAAAAAAGAAAAAAAAAGAGAGGTTGTCATTCAGAGCGACATCGACTGGCACTGCAAGAGTGACGGAATTGGATGTTATCTTACGTGGGGAGCGAACGTTAAGTGAGTGCATGGACCTTCAAACGCGAACCTTCAGCGCGACGTCTCGATCAGGCTACACCAAATCTGTACATCACGTGCAACGCGACGCGATGAGGCCGCCCAGGGTATTCCGCGTCCGGGCGCCAAACACGACAGCCAGAGCTAGAGTAGTGAATGCATGATGATCATTATCAATTGCTGTGCGCTTTTGAACGCAAGTCGGGACGGACATGCGTTGTACACAAGTATCCTCGGCCAGGTCACTGCACGCCTCAGCCTCAGCCTGGATCTAGACAGGGAACCAATAACCAAAATGAAAAAGCACAGACAGGCTCAATTCCATTCCACCATGTATATATATATGTATTTCTCAGGCGTGCAAGCCCAATTGGTGGGCACACTCGATCCACGTAAGGTGAATATAAGCTTCGAGCAATCAACCGGCCAAGGGTACAATATCCAAAGTCCCATACATGGTACATCCGCCGTAACGCCTAATGCTCATCCTCTGCAAGTCGACTCGCTAAAAGCTGCTCTGTGTGAGCGCTGGGTATACGAAGCATGCAAGATGGGAACGTAACGTAAGGAAGGAGAGGCATACAAGTTCTGGGGGGATAAGGGAGCATAGGGGAGAAACTTTTTTACCAACATGCGCGGCCACGAAGAGAAGAAGGCGCTTGGTGCAAATGTTAAAAGTCATAATGAGTAGTGTGGAAGAGAGCGGCCAACAGCGGCAAGCCTAGGCTTGAGACAAGACAAGACAAGACAACAAAGAATGCGCTCAAGGAGATTCATTCTGGCCAAGAAATAAATGAACCATAACAGCTTCCCCACGAGCATCCCGAGAGAGGAGAAGCAACACTGAAAGGTACTTTGACAACAAGCCCATCCTACAATCAGAACCTCGTCCTTCGCACCGGATTTTTTGGCAAACATAAGTAGATAACATAAACAGATAGCTGATGAGATGATCTGAAAATGGTGCTATCCAAGAAGGCGCCCATTAAACAACCAGGCATGTCATGAATATAGGGGGGTTTTGGACAAGGCAGAACAGAATATGACGGACGCAGATGCTGAGCTTATCCCTGGTATCCGCCGAAGCCATTCTGGTTGAAGGCTGCCTGCGGCGACTGACCCCACTGCTGCTGTTGAGGAGCGCCACGACCGTAGCCACCCGCGCTGCCTGGCTGTTGCATCTGCTGGTAAGCCATCTGCGGATTGCCAAAGGCTTGTTGCTGCTGGGCAAAGGGTTGTCCACCGGGGCTGGGTCCTGCCCGCGCATTAGATTGTTTGTTTCGATACTGCAGCTTCCTCCGGTGCCGCTCACCTGAAGGTGACATGGGGCCACCTGCCATGGGGCCGCCCGACATGGGACCACCCTGTGGACCACCACCATACTGAGGAAAGTACGCGCTGGGCGTCTGGGGATAGGCTGAGGGGGGTCCTCCAGCCGGGGAGTAACCCTCGAATTGACCCGTTGGGGGACGGTCTTTGCCCCACTACACGGCCACTTGTGAGCACACGAAAGAAACAAAAGAGATGTGGATCAACCTACGCTGCACTTGAGAGGACGGCCGTTGCACGGTCGTAGTACTTTCTGCAGC